ACACAGTTGGATAGAGCTTGAAATTCCCTTTTCAATGACATATGATAAGTGGAATTTGTTTTTAAGATGGCGGCGTGAGAAGGCACTTTCTTAAATTCAATATGGCGGCATTCTGACCTAGCCTTTGAATACCTAACAGAAAAATGAATATGCATTTTGGTAGACATTTTTCGGTAGGCCATTGGACACACTTTAATTCTAGAATTTAATAAGTACCTCTTCCTATTCAAAATTCTTAGAAAATTTGAAACTAAAATTTGCATTTCAAAGAAATTTTGAAATGCCCTTGTTTTTAAGCAAAATCCTTTTTTTTTCAAATTCGATCTGAAACCATTTCAAATCTAAAAATTATGGATTGTTGAAAGTGTTTGTTTGACAGAAACATTATCGGTTACGTCAGAATGACGCCATATTGAATTTAAGAAAAATACCTTCTTAGGCCGCCATCTTGGAAACAAATGCAAGTTGTGATATGTTATTGAAAAGGGAATTTTAAGCTCTATCCAACTGTGCAAAAAAATATACAGGGTTCCATAAAAATTTCTTGACTTGAGTCCATTTCCGGAGTAACCGGAAGTGATATTCAATTGTTTTTTTACGAAAAATATGCGTCTCAATAAGTTACCCGGTCCACCCAATTTTCAAATTTTTAACTTTAAAGAAAACTGAATGACGCCTTGTATAACGAGGTATATATCCATTTCGATGAATAATTTTATTTCTATAATTTAAATTATTTGGAATCGGAAACGGTAAAATACATTTTTTTTTCTCTTAATGAGTAAGTGTAAACCTGTAAGTTGCAAGCGTAAAAGCGTAAGCGCTTATACTTGAATAAGGCGTATATGCATTCGAATTCGGAAACTTCATTATGGGACTGTTAGGTCGAGATTAGGGGAAGGGAAGCGGCAGATGTGATTAGAATTTTTTTTTTGTATTTTATAAAATCGGCGATGATTATATAGTTATTAATGATACAAGTTCGATATGAACGCCATAATGAAACGCGTGTAACGTTAAACCACGAGGCGTTAGCCGAGTGGTTTAGTTACACAAGTTTCATTAATAAAGTTCATATCGAACGTGTATCATTCAAAATTTAATCTACAATGGTTCAAATAGATTTGATTTGCCTTGAATAATGAAACTACAATAAATATAATTAAAACTGAATTTATTTAATTACTATAGGTATACTATCACAGTACTGCTGATTAAATGGTCAAGCAATATTTATACGAATCGGGCTTTTTTCTAACCGCAAACTTTTTAACTGCATGTACAATTTTATTTTACCGTTTCCGATTCCAAATAATTTAAATTATAAAAATAAAATTATTCATCGAAATGGATATATGTATAAGATATGTATATAGAGTAAAATTCTATTGACGCGCGCTACCACCTATATCATTTTAATCGACTGCTGACTGAGGGAGTCCCGACATAGAAGTGTCTGACTGTTTTTTCAATAAATATATTGTTTTTACTATTACGTTGCCAAATTTCAGCTATGCGAAAACACTTTTGGTGAAATTATTATTCGACATGGATATATGCCTAATGACGCGGTACCACCTATATCACTCTAATCGACTGCAGACTGTCGGGGTCCCGACATAGAAGTGTCTGACTGTTTTTTTCAATAAATATATTGTTTTTACTATTACCTTGCCAAATTTCAGCCATGCGAAAACACTTTTGGTGAAATTATTATTCGACATGGATATATGCCTATTGACGCGCGCTACCACCTATATCCCTTTAATCGACTGCTGACTGGCGGGGTCCCGACATAGAAGTGTCTGACTGTTTTTTTCAATAAATATATTGTTTTTACTATTACCTTGCCAAATTTCAGCCATGCGAAAACACTTTCGGTGACGTCATTTTTTTGACCACTTCAAAGTCGCGCTGACTCTACGTGTCCCCGTATTTCTTTGTCTGACTGTTAAATTATGGTTCTACATTATATTCGCATGCTCTTTGCAAATTTTCAGCTTTGCGAAAACTGTTGCGAGGTGTTGATTAAAAATACACCTTTGCGCGCATCTCAGCGCCAGGTGTCCCGGAACTGGAACTGCTGACTGTAGCCTAGCTTTGTAGTACTAAAATGCTACTCATTCTGAAAATATGAGCCTTGCGAAAACTCTTGCATATTTTCGACGCCAGCTCCCCGACTATGAGCCCATAGAGTGATTTTTTCAACTTTAAAACTTTACTTGAATTGAATTTATTACCTATAAATATCTTCCTCTAATACACCATTCAAGAAGGCATTTTTGACATCTAATTGCTTAAAATAATGTTTAAACTGATTACCTACAATCAAAAGACTCCTAATAGTGACCATTTTGGCAACAGGTGAATACATTTCTTCGAAAAGCTCATTCTTTTCTTGTGCAAAACCTCTTACAACCAACCTTGCTTTCTCTATTTCTTTGAAAGTAAAAAACCATTTGGTATCTAAAATTTTTTCATACCAAGTATCATTATTTTTAATTGATTTTAATTCCTTCTCCATAGCATCTATCCATAACTTTCTATCTTGTCTATTATTTTTATCTGTCAAAATTTCATTCACATCCTCATTTTCTCGTTCTGATTCTCTCAATTTTCTATCATTCCATTCTATTTCTGTTTCAACATTCTGATCTGAATCATTTTCTGAACTCCAATCTATATAAACAACATTTTTCTTATAGTAAAAATTATTTTCATCAAGTTCAACATCTCTTGCAATAATTATTTTATTTGCTTCTAAATCATACAACCTATAACCTGTTGGAGCATAACTCATCATAACACAATTTTTACTTTTTGAATCAAATTTATTTCGGTACTGTTTTGGTATATGTTTATAAACCTGACAACCAAAAACCCTAAAATTACTTACATTAGGTTTTCTTTTCAACCATAATTCAGCAGGTGTAACATTCAAATTCACCAGTTGGAGATCTGTTCATTACATAATTAGTTACTCTAATTGCTTCACCCCAGAAATGTTTAGGAACCCCTGAATCAGCCAACATCGCTCTTGCTCTCTCAACTAACAAGACTTCCCGTTTTGTTGAGGACTGTAAAGTATAATCTAAAATAATCCCTTGATCCTTACAATAATCAATAAACTGATTTGATGTATTCACCACAACCATCATACATCTGAACTTTGAAATTTTTAAATTAAACATTGATTGCATCATGTTGTTGTATTCCTAAAATTTTTGGAAAATGTCACTTTTATTTTCAATCAAATAAACAACAGTAAAATTGGGAAAATCATCTATGAACGTGACAAAATAATTAAAATCCTCAAAAGTAGTTCGAGTGATTGGACCCCATACATCCGCATTATCTAATTTCTTGACCAAAAGTAAGTTTTTACTCAAATTTGGCACAAAAAATACATTCTTCAAAGTACATTTTATCTTTTCACCATTAATAAAAGAATAAGCTATAATATCACCTATACCTGTAGCTAATAAATATAGGTTTTATCCCCTGCACTAGCAATTTTTTGAGGTTTATTTAACATTAACAAGTCAGAATAATGAGATTTATCATTTACCATATGATCAGTAGAACCTAAGTCTATGTAAAAAATTAAATTTTGTTGAAAATCACTTTCTTCACAATTATTATTATCTTTAAGTCCCATAAAACAAACATTCTTGTCACTATCTTGTCTTTCCATACATCCATCAATACTACTACCACTACTGTTACCTTGATTTTGCTGTCTTTTACCCTCACCATAATGTCCTCCATAACATCTGTCATTCCTCGAGTCCTCCATTTGTGCTAAATTACTTCCTTGAACCATTCCATTTACATTATATTGGTCATTATTGTAAACTGTTCATAACCATAATAATAATTGTTTTGTTGATAACTTCTTTGTCCACCTCTTGGTCCTCCTCTCGGTACTCCTCTATAACCTCTTCTCATATTTCGCCCATGATTTGGTATAAAACCTCTTCTTTGAATGTAATGATTTTATCCGTTATTATTATTTAGGTACTAGAGTGATGTTGTGAAATTTGATTTTTTGATTAATTCCCTCTAAAACTGTTTCTCATGCATTCCCTTTGGATATGGCCAATTTTCCCACATTTGTAGCATTCTTTTGAGTGAGAAAGGCTATGCACTTTGAAGGCTTGACATATTATTTTGATCTGGATTATTCAATTTCCTTTTATCAAATTCACTTAAAAGTATTTTCTTGGGCTTCATCAAAATTCATATTTTTTGAGTTTTCAATTATTGCTATAATCGTATCGTATGATTTAGGTAGGCTTAGTAATAACTCACAAACTTTGTCATTTTCATCCATATCTGTTCCAGTGGCGCTCGTCAACTGTTTCATTATATCTTCATAGTCTGAAACATGTTTTTCCAAGGAACCACCTCATGTAATTTCATCGACAATAGCTTTTTTCTTAAAAATAACTGTCCTGGCAATCCTTTTTTCTCATATCTTTCTTTTGAATTAAGCAAGCCAGATTTCATATGCTGTATCTTTACTATCTTTTGCTCTTAACCATTCTAATTGACTGTATTCAACCATTGGAGAACAAACGATTTTGTTTTATTTTCTAATCTCTAATGTTTTGCCCTTTCTGTATCCAGGGGCGGACTGGCCTATCGGGCGATCGGGCATTGCCCGATGGCCTGGCCTAGCAAAATGGCCTGGTCGCTGCGCGATCTCCGTCATGCGACTATTAGTTAATCGAATCATAAATACCACATAAAAAAAAATAAAACAGAAGACATCGTTTTTTACGTAATCCTATGATCCTATAATAGTCGCACTCTTTTGACAAAAACCGCGTAACTATAGGTCTGTTTTCACAGAAGTCCCCGACAGTTTGCGAACTGTCAGACGGAATATATTTTTTGGACGCAGAGAAAAAACGGAGTTGAATTGAGGTGTTGGTTTTTTAGTGTGTTCGAGTGAGTTGAAACCGAGTAGTGAGCAGTTGGCAGTTTTTTACATAATAATGGACAGAATTGTTAACTCTTTGGAGAGTAGATTTACGAAACATCAAAAGCTATTCAAAGATTTCGAATGTTTCCATCCAAGCAGTTTTGATTCGTTAAACGAACTACCAGAAAATTTCCTAAAAAAAGTTACTGAGAAACTTGAAACATTTTTTCCTGAAATTCAAGAAAATAGTTTGAAGCAGCAATTATTGGATTTTGCCACTAAATGGTCTAGGCTGTCCCAAACACTTTCCGATGAATATTCAGTTGTTAATTTGGAATTGAATAACAGCGATAACGATAACGACCCGTACATAGGTACCTAATATAAATAAGCACAAAACATGCAAAAATGCTTATTTTGCTGTTACACTTTGCTTTTGAAATATAATATGTATGACGAGGCCTATCCCGATCTCCAAAGAGCTTACCAATACATACCTACTAACTTTATCCATATCACAGATTAGTTGTGAGAGGTCATTTTCAAAACAGAAATATATTTTGAAGAGGCTACGAAATAGCTTGGGACAAGATTATCTGGAAACATTTATGCTTATGGCAATTGAAAAAGATGTTCTGCAATCTTTACATAATAATGATATAATTAAGCATTTGATTGAAAATTGTAAGTCACTCAGAGAACTTTTGTCATAATTCATCCGCGACTTCATGGCTCATGAATTAATTAACTCTTCCGGTCGACAATAAAGTGATAAAAATTATAAGGAATACGAATATATCAGGCAAGCAAAAGTAGGTGGCCTGGGCAAGTCTCATCATCGCCCGGCCTGATTTCTAGTGCCAGTCCGCCCCTGACTGTATCATTCAAGGAACTTACATCTATTCGGGTTACAACTTGTTCCTGAACTGAATTTTCAGCCAACAACATCTCTATATACTCTAAACTTCCAATTATGATAATTGCTTCCATTTAATAATTCGATACTGAAATTCTTTCCTTGGGCCATTTTTTCTAATAATCCTTTATAACCTCACTTTAACTCACTTGGGGCACAAAAATCTCTTCTTTTGAAAAATAAAATAAAAATTATTCACAATCCTGGGCCCATCACCTGTTGATATTTATAGTGTGGTTCCTTTTTGTGTTTTCAAATATTACTCATTTAATTTATAATTAACTTTTGAGTAAACTTCTTTCTTTCATTAATTATTAGTTCATTACATTAACGTAGACAGTCATCATTATTATTATACCTACCGCCAAAACTTGACAACTTCTGTCTTAAATAAAATAGGGTTCTAAATGAATAGCAGCGCGTTCGAAACTTCGATTTCTAGTGGTACCTACTCAACAACTACCCCTCGAGATCAGCCACATGAATTAGAAGTACAGCTTCGTCTTCATCGGCCTGGTGGTCTGCAAAATATAAGATCTACAGCAGGGACGGCTTAAGACTTCTTGAGGCCCTGGGCCTATATGTAAAGGTGGCCCCTTACCTACGGAGGGGGGGAGGTGCTCTAGCGCTTTTGACTATTTTAAGTTTAAAGAATGAACGTTCCTTGCTTGCATTGTTGACCATCAAAATTCTCATAGCAATTTCAATGTTTGGAAGGAAATACTGTGAAAATATTTGCTTCAAATATATACAGTGAGGACATAAAGTCCGTCGCCCCCCCTCTAAATTTTGAACCGCTCGGTATATTGCAATGAAATTTGGAATGATGATATGTGACTAGATTCTACATTTTTTGGAAAACAAATGACAGCTTTAGCTGTCAAAATGACAGCTAGACGCAGTTTCGAAACGTTTTTTCAAATAGAAAGCGGTGTCGAATGATATATCGTTTTGAAGGTCTGTTTTTTCTAAATTTAATCCTCGATTCTGAAAACATTTGGTTTAGCGGTTTTCAAATGATGACGAAAAAACCAAGGCTTGTTTTGCTCATAAACACTCATAAAAAAAAAAATTAAATTTTTTTTATCGGTTTTCTATTCATTATTTAAGTTACCAATGTCATGACGTCATTATTATTACTGAAAAAAAGACAATAATGAATAAAAAAGCGATAAAAAAATTTTTAATTTTTTTTTTTCGTAAGTGTTGATGAGCAAAACAGCCTTTGTTTTTTCGTCATCATTTGAAAACCGCTAAACCAAATGTTTTCAGAATCAGGGATTAAATTAAGAATAAAGAAACCTTTAAAACGATATATCATTCGACACCGCCTTCTATTTGAAAAAACGTTCCAAAACTGCACCTAGCTGTCATTTTGACAGCTGAAGCTGTCATTTGATTTTCAAAACATGGAGAATCTAGTCACATATCATCATTCAAAATTTCGTTGCAATATACCGAGCGGTACAAAAGTTAGAGGGGGGGCGACGGACTTTATGTCCTCACTGTATGTATAAAGCGTACCGATTCCAATAGACTTATCATCTCCATCTTCTATTGGTTCATCTTGATCATCAGTATTAGGACGTAAAACGACCTGTAAAATCCGAAAAACAAAAAATATACAGGGTGTGCCATTTAAAAATCAAGAGTTCCGGACATTTCCGGTGGAACCGGAAGTCAGGAAAACTTGTCATAAATGCATAAAAATGGCGTTTGGATAGAATATCAACCCTACCAAGTTTCGTTGATATTAATGGACAAATAAAAAAATGGCAGCCGGAAAGTGATCTCGTGGGCACCCGGTATATGCCAATATATGACAAATTTAAATTTTCCTCTTGGACGAACAAATTTACTTTGTTAATCCGAGTCAAAATATTATTCCAAAAAATTGTTAAGAAAGTGGGTTCTAAGTCATCCATCTTGCTTTTCAATGTTTTTGCAGTAAGACGTGTATCTACTGATTGTATCAAAGCTCATTTGGATTTCTTTGTATCCACAATTCAAAGCTGTAACTGCATCTTCACGTGCAGACCAACGTGTTTTTAATAAGCTTTTCTTTCAGTACTTTAGGATCAGAACTTAAATTTGAATTCATTATTTCCCAACGGTGCGTTGATGAAGAAAAGAAATTGTAGAGGTTTTGAACAAAGTCAAAGTAAATTGTGACATACTTTATTAAAGGCGGTGTTTCCTGGTCTTTCTGAAATTAATAAGTTACGGTCATTGGAATTCGCACAAATTTTATATTGTATGATTGCAGTGGATCAAAATTAAAAAATATAGTTTTTGCAAATACTTTTGGCTAAAGTTATTAATACAACTTTTTCGCTACTCGCCTATAATTTTTTTTTTTCAATTTTTTCACCATAAAATGTATTTTAAATTAGGCGTAGACTTAGCGATGAGGCCTCCTTGGCGCCGGAGGCCCTGGGCCCGGGCCCAGCGGGCCCATGCCTTAAGACGGCCCTGATCTACAGGAAGCATCATTTCTTTTTCAGTCAACAGCATTGATGATGTATTATTGACGGTGGATTCATGTTGAGCTATTTCAGTCTCGCTGGTGTCATCCATAAACATCAAGAGGCATTGATTGATGTTTCCGTCGGACTGTAAATGAATTAGAATCTTGGCTCTTGCTGGTTTTTTTTATTCCCAGTAGCATCAGGAGTTGTTTCCATTCCTCGATCGGACCCAAAATGATTTCCCTCTTGATCGGTATGAAGTTTCATTGGTGCGCTCTCCAGAAATGTTTCAGAAACTTCTTAACCACTCCTTGAATGGGGATTGAATTTCCTTCTGGCAACTTTGAGAAATAGTCCAGGTACTTCTTCGGGCTTTGTTCTAGGAAAAGTAGCTACGATATCTACCGCAACTATCTTCCGCCAGGAGGAACCAGACAGACAAGTATTGCCTAATTTCTCCTCGACGTGCCGTCTTGGGTTCTTTCTTGGAAGCACCAGAGGTCACATTATTCCTCGACATCTCTACGACATTTGATCCAGCGGGGAAGTCCGAGTTGGGTCCCAATTCTGGCAGGCATATTTAATTATGGTCCAGTTGGGTCCGGCCTAGGGCCTAATTGGGTCCACGATAATATCCAAATAATTGAATAAAACTGAATTTTAATAGGACAGTGTTGCCGATTTAGGATAGTTTCCTAGATTTCATGGTAGGTACTCCACGTAATTAATTGGAGGTTCGAGAGGGTGGTATTACAGGTATATTTCCTATTGTTATAAGGTTGGTACCCCATGGTTATTATAAGTTCACTCGCTAATTAAATTCGTTTGTTGTTAATTGTGCTGTTTAAATTATTGTTAGTGAGAGTAGATAAGTTGGAAGAATGGAATGTACGCTACTTTCAAGTGAGAAAGGAAAAGGAAAATCGCTGTTACTGATTAACGGGTGCAAATTTGGCTTCCAAAAAGACTTGGAAGTTGGTGTAAAAAGGTGGATATGTAGGTACATGCAAAAAATCATTTTGCAAAGCCTTTGTGAAAACAACTGGGGAAAACCTCATAATCGGATCAACGTTGGAACATAATCATGAAAAACAACCAAATCATCTCTCAACTAGCCAAGTTTTGTCTCAATCCGTCAATAGAGCACCTGTGGATAACCCTACGGAGAAACCCATGAAGCTGATACGTCAAGAATTATATAAATCCGTTCTTGAATCAGTAACAACACATGACATTACCAGATCAAGAAAAAATGCTTATTACGCCAGAACATCGATTTTATGTAAACTTCACAATTCACGGCTTAAAGAATGGCCATTATACCCCAGTAGTATCCCACTATATTTTGTTAGGAATTTAGAAGTGCGGCAACAAGGCTATTATTTCCCATTTTTTTCTTAGAATCTAAGATATCTTCTTCGGTCCCAATTCGGCCCACACCTTTCTAAGGGCAGGTAAGTGGATAAGGTTTGGGACCCAACTCGGATGCGTCCGATCCAGCAATGTAAAGCCGATGGTTAAAATTTTTACGCTCAAATCAATAACAGTTGAAAACAAAACTGGGCTATTATGTTAATAAACCTTTTTTTGTTCATTGAAATAAATGTTTATTTACAAATTAAATAAAAACAAAATTTGACACAATTTTAATAAAATTTATCGGAAGTTTTCACTTTTTAATACATCGCAAATAAAATTAATTTGAATTTAAATCGCGCAAAAATCGAAAGTTTTTATGTAACAATGTAGGTATTTTCTCATTTAGGTATGCTTTAATTTCTTTGCAATTTTGTGTGATAATTTTTCAACTTTTGTAGGTAGGTATAGGTATTATTTTAAGCTCACCACAATTACCTAAAAAATATATTTTTTTTTTTTGTTTACACTCCGATATCATACTGAATAAAAGTCCGTTACGATATAATATGAACCAGAAAAAAAAATTAGAAATTAAAATGCAGAAAAACCGGTTTTTCTGCACTGCACGTGCAATAAAAA